AGGTGTGAATGGAACAGAGATGAACAAATCAAGGTCTTTTGCTTTAAGGATCATGTAACCTGCGGGATTACACTGTCAGGTATAGAATTATCTAAACACAAAGCAATGCCATCCATGGGAGAGGTACACAAAAACATCATGAAAGCAGAAAAGAAGGTGAGATTAATTTCAAATGGAGAAGTTGGTGTGTTTCATGAAGAAAATCACCTCCAGCTGAGCTTTGAAGGGGTGAATAATTTTAATAAGCAGCAAGAATGGAAAGGATATTAGATAGAAATATGTGAACAAATCTGTACTTGGATATTTTGAGGTCAGAATGTTTTAATGACATGAGGAGTAACTCAGTGCAGTGAGCTGTGGGAGGCAGAGGAGTCCAGGGAAATAGCTTGGGTCAGATCACCTTGAATATCTGACAGTTTGAATTTTATTCTGCAAGCCACTGGGAGTTTAGAAGGGTTTGGAGCAGGATGATGGCTTGATCTCAAAGCTGGGATATAAATACATATCAATGCAACTTTTAGGAAATTAGAAAAATAACATTTTATGACTAAGACTTAATAAAATATATTCTCTTTCTCTTTGCATGTGGATTACAATTAAAGTTTATATCTTTTCTGACTGAGTTGGAAGTGATTTCTTTAAAAATAAGTAAACAATTCTCAGAGGGTATCACAGATACTTTTTATAGGATAGTCTTCGAAATAAGTGTGTTTAATTTCTAATCTATTCTTGAAATGTTACCCAATTAAAAACAAAAACAAAAACTACACACAAGAGTGTTTTATGGTAAGAGTTTTCTGTGCTAAAAATTTGTTTGGCATTTTGGAAGAAGGCTAAGGGATCTCATTTATCAAGTATGTCTTTCCTGAATTTATCATTCTTATGGAAATTCCTAAGTGAAGGATGGGAATTGGGAATTGGTGGTTAGGGGAAACTGATAGACAAAAATTAAGACATTTTGCTAAATATTAGAACCAACAGAATGCGGATATTTCATTAAAATAAAATGATTCCATTGCCACATCTTACATAGAAAGTTGGCAAGAGCTGATTCATGATTCTTTTCTATGTAAAAAAACAGAACATGCACACCTGGGCAAACACCAAAGCTGGAAGTGGTGAAGGCAGCTCAGGATGGGATCTAGAGATGGTATAACTAAGGGCTTTGAGATATGCAACTCCCCCATTCAAAAGGAACTGAGTAGGATCAGTTCATGGCAGGAACTCACTGATGTCTCTGTGTGCTGAATTTCTCACACTAGAGTGGATATCTCTCAAACTTTATGTGAACTAATAGCCATTCTTTTCCCTGAGATTGGCTAATTTACTTCTTACTTGATATACAATTTCTTTTTAGAGCTGTACTGATTGCTAATGATGGAACAGGAAAGAGACTTACAAACTCATGCATATGGAAAACATTAAGTGCAGATGGGAAATATTAAGTTGGGAAATCCATTATCCTAGAATCTTTTTTTTTGCCTATCATTAGAATGTTTATTGAAGTAAACAACATGTTCTAAAGTAAATGTGGTATAAATTACTACCTCCAGGATTAAATTAGACAATATTTATTTGGGGTCAGACTTGGACTTGAATCTTGGGAAGTTTTAAATTTAATTCAAACAAGTTCATTTGACTGCTAAATTGGGATACAAACATTTTTAATGACCTTTTAAAATTATTTTGTACAGTTTGGTAGTAAATGCAGCTGAAGAATATTTAAAAATAAAAGATATTTTCCCCCTAAGACAAACTCTATGGCTTATAAGAACAATAACAACTGTGCTCATTAAATTGTGTGGCTTATGAACAAGAGACAGTTCAAAGTAAGAAAATAATTCTCCATATGCAGTACGATACAATAAACCTAGAAATGTAAGTCGCTCTTGAAATATATTATTTTAGACTACCAGTTTAAATAAGATGAGGAAAATAAAAGGAAAAGGAATCTAGCCTAAGTAAATATTCTCTCTGATGTCTTTCTATGCCTCCTCTTCAGATTTTCTTGTCTCCATTAATTTTCCATCTGCACTGGGTATTAAGGACACCTTTTATTGATATGGTTTTAAACAACTGTTAGGTCCTATATTTTTACTTGTTATACTTGCTTTGATAACTGTAATTCTGGTCAATACTCTCTAAAGTAGAAACACTTATTGGTCAGTGGCATTTTAACTACCATGATGATTTAAGCCCCATAGCCAGCACAGGTCTTGTGCCGCACTCACTATCAGGGGCTGTTTGGAACCTCCCTGCTGAGTAATATTAGACAAATCCTGACTTGCTGATCTAGATAAGCGTCCAAGAATGTTTTCTCTGTAGTCAGAAGTCATATTAAACTTGGAGAAGAGAGTGCTATTTTTTTTACGTCACTTATTTCACAATGACATTATTGTTTCATTTCCAATAGAATGCAACATCCACAACAGCTTATCTGTCTTGTCTGCCTTTCTATCCCCAGTATCTAAAAAAACTGCCCACCACAGCAGACACTTATTAATATTTGTTGAATGAAAGAATGGATGAATGAACAAGAAGCAGAACAAATAAGATATTTCTGGATATTCTCAATCAATATAGGAGAATGAAAATAGCAAAACACAATTATGTTTTAGGTGAATTACTCAAATGATCAATTCTCTGTGACCATATCTTTTTTATTTTGATGATTATAATTTTTAAGCACTTGTTTTTTTATTTCTGCCTCTTCTGAATTTTCTATTTTGCTTGATGTTTTTATTGCTTTTTGATATTGTTACTATTTCATTTTACCTTCAATTACTCTGAGTTAACATATGTTAGTTAACTCTTGGCCTAATTATTATCAATAGCTTTATCTGGAGTGAATGTATGCCCCAGTTGTATCTTCTTTCTTTTTTCTTAGCATTACATGATTTAATGGATGTTAGGATTTTGATTTACAGATTCATTTTGAGAGGGAAGTTTTGTTTTTATTTTATTTTATTTTATTTTTTTATTGTTGGGTCTTGGGTGAGTTTTTTTTTCAATCTTTTAAAATTTATTGAGGCTTGTTTTATGGCATAGTATATTGTCTAGAGAATGTTTTACATGCACTTGAGACAATACACATTGTGCTATTTTTGGAATGGTTCACTGTATGGACGTCAAATAGGTCAAGTTAGTTATAGTGTTATTCAAGCCTTCGATAGCTTTGCTGATTTTCTGTCTAGTAGCTCTTTCCATTGCTGAGAATGGGTACTGAAATCTCTATTAATGTTGAATAGTCTATTTCTTCTTTCTATTGTATCACTTTTTGCTTTACGTATTGTGGGCTCTGCTGCTAGGTGTGTATCATTTATAATTATTATATCTTCCTTATAAATTGACCCTTTTGTCATTATGAAATGACTTTCAAATGATGTTTCTCATCTCAAAACCCATTTTGTCTGATATTATATAATCAACCTAGCACCTTTATTGTTACTGTTTGCATGGTGTATTTTTTCATCCTTTTACTTTCAATCTATTTAAATGTAAAGTGATTATTAATGTGATTGGATTTATGTTTGGCATTTTGCCATTTGTTTTCTATCTGTCTCATCTTTTTATTTATTTGTTCCTCCTTTTGTGTTAAATAGATATTTTTTCAGTGTACCATTTTAATTCCTTTGTTGATCTTCTGGATATGTATTTATTTTCTTAGTATTTGCTCTAGGAATTACAATATACATTTTAACTTACCACAATCTACTTCAAACTAATAGTAACTTAATTACAGTAAGATAGAGAACTTAATTATTGTTTTATTTAATCATCATTTAAGTCAGTTAAGAGAAAAGACAGTATATAGACATACTGTCTTTTATATTTAAAGACAGTATATAGGCATACTGCGTTTTATATTTACCTCCATAATGACCTTCACATGTACTCTTTATTTCTTTAGGTAGATTTGAGTTACCATCTGGTGTCATTTTCTTTTATTTCTTGTAGGGTAGGCCTGTTAGCAACAAATTTTTTCATTCTTTATTTCACCCCTATCATTTAAACTTTTTTATTAAAGATAATTATAGGTTCACATACAGGATAATACAGAGATAACCACAATGAGAACATCTTTTACAATATCACAACCAGGCTATTGATAAGGATGCATCAAAATATAGCACATTCCCATCACCAAAAAGATGCCACATGGTCTACTTTTATAGCCACACACACTTCCCTCCCACTTCCTCCTCCTTTATCCCTGGTAACCCACTAGTCTGTACTCCATTACTATCATTTTGCTAATTCAAGAATATTAATAAGGACAGGCATGGTGGCTAATGCCTGTAATCCCAGCACTTTGGGAGGCTGAGATGGGTGGATTAACTGAGGTCAGGAGTTTGAGACCAGCCTGGTCAACATGGCAAAACCTCATCTCTACTAAAAATACAAAAATTAGCTGGATGTGGCAGCAGGCACCTGTAATCTCAGCTCCTTGGGAGCCTGAGGCAATAAAAGTGCATGAACCCAGGAGACAGAGGTTGCAGTGAGTTGAGATCATGCCACTAGCGTGAGTGACAGAACGAGACTCCATCTCAAAAAACAAAATATAAAAATAAAAAAAGGCCAGGAGTGGTGACTCATGCCTATAATAGCCAAACAATCCTAAGGAGAAAAAAAAAAAAAAAAAAAAAAAAAGCTGAAGGCATCACGCTACCTGACTTCAAACTGTACTATAAGGCTTCAGTAATCAAAACAGCATGGTACTGGTACCAAAACAGAGACATAGACCAATGGAACAGAACAGAGTCCTCAGAGGCAACACAACATATCTACAACCATCTGATGTTGACAAACCTGACAAAAACAAGCAATGGGGAAAGGATTTCCTATTTAATAAATGGTGTTGGGAAAACTGGATAGCCATATGCAGAAAGCTGAAATTGGAGCCCTCCCTTACACCTTATACAAAAATTAACTCCAGATGGATTAAAGATTTAAATATAAGACCTATCACCATAAAAACCCTAGAAGAAAACCTAGGCGATACCATGCAGGACATAGGCATGGGCAAGGACTTCATGACTGAAACACCAAAAGCACTGGCAACAAAAGCCAATATAGACAAATGGGATCTAATTAAAGTCAAGAGCTTCTGAACAGAAAAAAAAAAAAAAAACTATCAGTAGAGAGAATCAGCAACCAAGAGAATGGGAAAAAATTTTTGCAATCTACTCATCTGACAAAGGGCTAATATCCAGAATCTACAAAGAACTAAAACAAATTGACAAGAAAAAAAAAACATCAAAAAGTAGACGAAGGATATGAATAGATACTTTTCAAAAGAAGATATTTATGCAGCCAACAAGCATGAAAAAAAGCTCATCATCACTGGTCATTAGAACAATGCAAATCAAAACCACATTGAAATACTATCTCATGCCAGTTAGAATGGCGATCATTAAAAAATCTGGATACAACAGATGCTGGAGAGGATGTGGAGAAATAGGAACGCTTTTACTCTGTTGGTGGGAGTGTAAATTAGTTCAACCATTGTGGAAGACAGTGTGGCAATTCCTCAAGGATCTAGAAGTAGAAATACCATTTGACCCAGCAATCCCACTACTGGGTATATACCCAAAGGATTATAAATCATTCTATTGTAAAGACATATGCACATGTATGTTTATTGCAGCACTGTTCAGAATAGCAAAGACTTGGAACCAACCCAAATGCCCATCAACGATAGACTGGATAAAGAAAATGTGGCCCGTATACACCATGGAATACTATACTGCCATAAAAAAGGATGAGTTCATGTCCTTTGCAGGGACATGGATGAAGCTGGAAACCATCATTCTCAGCAAACTGACACAAGCACAGAACACCAAACACTGCATTTTCTCACTCATATGTGATGAACAATTAGAACACATGGACACAGGGAGGGGAACATCACACACTGGGGCCTATCGAGGAGAGGAGGGTGGGGGGATTGGGGAGGGATAGCATTAGGAGAAATAACCTAATGTAGGTGATGGGGTGATGGATGCAGCAAACCACCATGGCACTAATATACCTATGCAACAAACCTGCACATTCTGCACATGTACCTCAGAACTTAAAGTATAACAAATAATTTTTTTTAAAAAGCATGACTGCACAGATGCAAAAGAGGCCCCCTCCCACCAAAAAAAAAGAATGTAATAGTATAGTTTTGATATTGCTTTTTCATTTAGCATAATTCCCTGAAAATTCACCCAAGTAGTTGCATGTATCAGCAGCATGTCCCTTTTAATGGCTGAGTAGTATTCCAAGGTATGTATGTACCATAGTTTAAATATTCACCAAAAGAAGGACATTTAGGTTGTTTTCACTTTTTGACTATTATGAATGAAACTTCTATAAACATTTATATACAGGTTTTTGTATGAACATAAGTTTTCATTTCTCTTGTATAAATGTCCTGGAATACAATTGCCAGGTCTGACACTTGCATGTTTAGTTTTTTTGGGTTTTGTGTCTTTTGCTTTTAATTGTGTATAGTTTACTATTTCAAATGAAAGTAAAAAATAAATCTTTAACATAAATACATAGGATACTATATTTTAATGGGCTTTATTATTTTAATATTCTGCCAAAAGCACATTAATAATTAATGCCCTAATTTGGGTTAAATCACTATTCAGTTTTATCTTGTGTCTTTCAACCAAGATTTTACTCAATGATAAAAGCTTTATCTGCTCCTCTGTAGCAGTCGCTGTCTATATTTCTATATAGTGTGGTCTTAGCTATAGCGTATATAAGATTAATAACACTAACTATGTATTATACTGGAACTATTTCTAAATTACTACTCAGAATCTCTGCTGAATACTCAATAGTTCCCATTTCTTGGGTCCATAAAGGGCAGTAGATAAATCCAAAAAGTTACTTCAGTGAATATTTATAAACTTCTCATATTTTGTTAGAAGTATTGCTTCAGCTAACATAGGCATTCCTTAGCATCTGTCAACTAAAATGCAACTCCAGAAAAAGAAACTGTAATTGATTCATTTTTCATTTATTTGATTACCAAAAGTTGTGGCCTTAATTTTCTAGGGCAGCTACAACTTCCTAACACTAAAGAAATGAACAAATATGAATTGTTGTTATCCATTTTTTTTTCTACCACTTTCAGCTATTGCATTTATCTTTGGATCAACCCAGCTTCTACTGGTGCCATGATCATATATTGAAATTCACATTATATTGAAATCATCTGTTTATCTGTTTTGTTCTTCATACTATAAATTTCTTTAGTGCAGGGGCTGTGGCTTCTTCATAATTGTTCCTGAGTGAGGATCTTCAGGGACAAGCACAAGAACTGGCACATGGTAACTACTCAATAAATATTACAATACTCACATGTTTAGTTTTTTAGGTAATGACCAGCTGTTTTCCAAAACGTCTGTACTATTGTACATTGCCACCACCAATGTATGAGTCATCAGTTTCTCTACATGCTCAACATTATTTGATATTGCTACTATTCTTTAATTTAACCATTCTGATAAAAGCATAGATATATTTCATTGTGGTTTCAATTTGCTTGTTTCTAATGGCTAAGGGTGTTGGCCATTTTTTCATGTGCTTATTAGTCATTTATATATCCTCTTCGATGGCATATTTGTTAATATATTTTGCTCATTTTCTGATCACACTTTTGGCTTTTTACTATGGAATTTGGAATATTATTTATATATTCTAGATAATATGCATTTTTGAATCTGCAAATATGTTCTCCCAATTTATAGTTTCTTTTATCCCCTTAATAAAATAATTCATAGGGCAAAAGCTTCTAATGTTAATGAAGCACAACTTACCAATTTTTCTTCTTATGGATCATACTTTGTGTTAAGTGTAAGAATACTTTACCAATCTTTAGCTCCCAAAGACATTCTCCTATTTTTTCCAAAAATTTTGTAGTTTTAGATTTAATTTTTGTGTAAGATGTGAAGTTAGGTTGATGTTCTGTGTTTTGTTTTGTTTCCTTAGTTTTCTTTTAGGTCTGTGGATGTCCATTTGCTGCAGCACCATTTGTCGAAAGATTATCTTTCCTCTATTAAACTGTTTTTATAGCTTTATACCATGCTTCCTGTCAGAAATCAGTTGGACATATTTATTGGGTTCTCCATTCTCTTCCATTGATCTTGGTGTCTATCACTCTGTCAATACTACATAGTCTTGAGTATTGTCTTAATTACAGATTCTTTTCACTTTATTCTTTTTTTTTTTTTTATCAGAATTGCTTTAGCCATTCTGGTTGCTTTGCTTTTCCATATAAAACATAGAATGACCTTGTTTGTAATTACCAAAAATCTTTCTGAAATTATGGTACACATGTGTATCAATTTGGGAAGAAAGACATATTTACAATGTTTGGTCTTCCAATCCATGTAAACCATATATTCTCCATTCAGTTGGATCTTTGATTTCTCTCATCAGTGTTTTACAGTTTTCAGCATACAAATCCAGTGCATGTTTTATTAGATTTATTCTAAGTATCTCATTTTTGAGTGATTGTAAATTACACTTTTAATTTTGACATCCAAATGTTTTAAAGAGATATTTAAGCTTACTAAGACAGTATTTTTATTAGAAAACTCATCCTACGGTGACCCCGGAAATGTCATTTTTACCAGGAGAATTTTGACTCTAAGTGAATTTAACATGTTTTATTTCCTGAATGTTTTAAATCAGAACTGAGGCAGGAGACTTAGTATAAAGTGATCATTTCAATGAAGACTCAGGGGCTATGGGGAAGTTATGTACACATCAAAAGCATCAGAAGTGTGATAGACTGTCCATTAAGAGAAGATAGAGAAATAAAAATAGGAGGAGGAAGATGAGGAGGAGAAGGGGAAGGGAGAAAAGGAAGACATTAGAGTGAAATGCTCTGAATGACTGCTAGCTTTACAATTGCTAGTTCTAGTTATGTATTTAAGTTCTAGTCAATAGATGTTCCCAGTGTCCTTCTTGCAAATTTATTTTTCTCTTCTTTCTTCCTCCCTCCCTTCATTCACTGTTCCCTCCCTGTCTCTCTTTCTTTCTCATTTGTTTGCTTAAGCTAGCTTGAAGTGGTTCTTGAAATCTACACCACTATCAAAAATTAATAACAGGTGGCAAAACATAGGAATTCATGTATTCAACAAATATTCATTATGAGCTTTTTAAGTGTCAGATTTTAAGATGCCAAGATTAATAAATTATGGCTTTTCTCCTTGAAAAGTCCATGCTGTAATGGAGAGATCCTGTTACTGACTTCAGAATCCAAAAGTGGCATATTAATCATTGAGGACTGCCAAAACAAAGTACCACAGAATAAGTAATTTAAACAACAGAAATGTATCTTCTCACAGTTCTGAAGGCCACTAATTCAAGAACAAGATGTCAGCAGAATTGGTTTCTTCTAAGGGGTGCTCTCCTTGGCTGTCTTCTCCCTGTGTCTTCACATGGTTTTCCTTCTGTGTGTGTGTCTGTGTTCCAATTTTCTCTTCTTATAACATCACCAATATTGGACTAGTACATACCCTAATCACCTTATTTAACCTTAATTACCTCATTAAAGATTCTGTCTCCAAATTCAGTTGCATTCTGAGGTACTGGATGTTAGGACTTCAACATATAAATTTGTGGGGGACACAATTATATTAGGACACAACATATAAATTTATGGGGTACACAAGTGGTAATGTTCTTCTATGTCATTGACTGAAACCAGACACATGTACAATATAAATGTCCTCAAAAAGAATACATCAATTTCTCCTTTTAATACAGTTTTTAAATTATTTGTGGTCTTTTCCTCTTTATTATTAGATTATTTCTTGTATTATGAGAAAATATAGGCACGTCATCTTATAGTTATTTATAATCTTATCCTTTCAAACTATCAGTAATTTTGCAAATAATAGTAAATGATTTATAATCCTTTCTTATGAATAATAGTATTTTCACAGCAGTGATTGAAAATTTGATACAAATTTTTGCATTTAAAAAAATTAATGGAGTTTTTTTTGTTTGTTTGATTTTAGTCAGGGTCTTGCTTTGTTATCCAGGC